TTTTTAGTAAATTTTAAATATTATTCAACGATTCTTAACGGAATTTTAAAGGAAATATTAAACAAACAAAAAACAAGAAAAGCTGGCAACTACTTGCAAAAGTTCCTATTCAAGTCCAAACACTGTTTTCACTGCTTAATCAGCATGCTTCTTAATTCAACTGGTCAATTTGTCCCCAAAAACAGTCTTAGTCACTAACGCAAGAGCTACTTATTTACATAATCAGTATATATATACATATGTATATGTATGTATAAACAAATATGCACTTTTGAATATTGGTCAGTATTTTTGAAAATTTTATAAATATTTACAATTTTAAAATGAATCAACAGACTGGCTTGCAATCACAACCAATTATCCCGCGCACAAATATACTATATTTCGTGCCATTATCTTCCGCATGAACTAGATTCTAATAGCACTGCAAATATTTACATATGTACATGTGTTTATATACTTCTATGTACTTGTAATTCCCCCATATATTTATTGGTGTAATGAATACACAACCCCATTGGGCTGCCAAAAAATTTTGATGCCCCAATTTTGCTGCAATTGCCAGCTGTACTTCGTTGTAGGCGGAAATAAACATGTTACTTGGTTTATATGTAAATATTTATATGCATATACATATATACATACATATGTGAGAACCCTTGTGGGATGTCTGTGGATTAACTTCTTGTTTCATTACACTGTTGTACGGTTTTCCAGTTATTCGAATCTATTCAGGCAACTCCTTCGGTTTCCGTCTTTACTTACATATATTCGTATTAGAGTTTTTGTGGTCCAAGGATTGCATAAAATTGTTCATTGAGCATGTTTCGAAATTGTATCTCATTTACTGTAACAACTACCTTTTGTTTACTTTCAGCTTCCTACCTCCTAGAATTCAAGAGTCTTAAGATCTCGTCCAAGCCTTCTCGTCTTTTCCCCCTTGCGCTTCCCAACCACCGCAGCTAGCATTCAAAGTCTTCCGTTTCGTGAGCGTTATCTGCTTCCAAAGCATCCAAAGCTTTCATTTCTGAACCGCTATCTGCCACAGTCGCTTTTCTCTTCAAATTTGTGTTGAAATCAGTCTCAATTTTTCCCATCAACAGCTCGCTAATATCTTGGCCCGCCACTCTTCAATGACACCAGACAGTTTAAGTTAGTGGAAGCTTAAATTTAATTGAAACGAAAAGCGTAAATCACTCAAATTGCCCAACACTAATTACGACGTCGACAGTTTCCTCATTTCTATGTCAGCAACTGTGTTAACAATTGTTAATAAACAACAACAAAAGCGTGTAATAAACAATTACCAATGAGCTGTTAAACAATTATGTGTTCACGAACTTTCCCAAATTGTGGGATGAGGTAATACAATTTCATTGTTTAAGTTGTGCATCAGTTCATAGTAAATAAAAAGGGTTACCAACGAATGGTACTTTGGACTAAATAAACTCTCTTCGGCAGGTCAAAAGTTTCTCTCTGATATTTAGTATAAAATATACTCTCATTAGCTCTCGGATCTACATATATGAACTTCTTCAAGTCACAAAAATGTCTGAAATGAAAAAATCTCAATACGACTTTCGAATCTCTACATATACTCGGAAATATTAAATATATTCTCTTAAGAACTTTATTTCATCTTCCTTACCTGTCTATTGAGATGAAAAGCTCTAAAATAAGAAGACGAGAGATTTGTCGTATATAATTCTCACTATATAGCTGCGGTACCACAGTTGGCTTTCTATTCAGTGTGATTTCAATCGATTGGACTTGACAGTTTAGGGAAGTAGTAAGAACCACTGCCAAAAGCTCGATGTTGCTTTAGTGACTAACATTTTTGAAAGTATATGTTTTAATATGAGTTAAAATATCGGTCTTAGAGGATATGGCGGCTTCATTTAGTCAGCCTGATCACTGTTTTTTCATTTTGTTCCTTGCTGTCGTCACCATGTCACCATTCAAACGTTCATTAAGTACCGAAACTGACAAAGGTCAAAGTTTATATATACATATTTCCATTGAGCCTCAGAACTTCTCTCATGTACTCATATTTAACAAAGATCTCTGGTACTTACATACCATATATGGCATATTTGATTGCCGGCAGACGTATATGTATTTGAATCTGTGTACGATTTTATTTCAAATGAGATTTTTTAATCTAGTTCAATTGGGGACCGAAGATTTGTGAAGTATTTCTTAAAGTTCCTGAAAGCTACGGAACATATTTTCCTTTGGTGATGGCGAGTCTTAAGTTCACGTTATCTTATCAGTAATTCACAAATGAGTTCTTGTTCATACATCCCAGTGGATTCCCAGGTCCACCTTCTCCTTCCAGATAATCGAAAATGAGTTCTTGTTTACACAACCCAGTAGATGATCAGTCCATCTTTTTCTGTGAGTAATTCGAAAATGAGTTCTTGTTCATACATCCCAGTGGATTCCCAGGTCCACCTTCTCCTGTCAGATATTCGAAAATGGGTTCTTGTTCTTCCATCCCTGTGGAAAGTAGTATCTTCGGCTAAAGACCCATCCAATTATTTTGCAGACTTAGCGCCTCCCACCATAACACTCATTGGTTGTATACTCGTATATGTACGAAATAGATACGAGAGTTCAAAAATTATATGAAGAAAATGGAACCAAAACAAACTTTAATCAAAGTCAGCTATGAGGATATAAAAAATCATAGGTAGAAGAAGTAACCCGTTAGCAACTTATTGTTTTATCGTAGGAGTATTATCAAACGCATTAGTCTTCACTGTCCTCAAATAATTAAAGATATCGTAGAGAATTGCAATGCACTCACACTTTTGGAGGTTTATTTTCGAAAATTTAGACTGATAATCTTCTACTCCGTTCTACTCCGAAGCGATTATAAGTCTTTTTTGATCTGAGGATTTTTCGGTAGAAAAAAATCGAGTTTAAAGATTTATAAGAAAAAAACCTCTACTGGGAAACGGTTCTTGGTTTCGTTTTTCCGTAGAAGACTGAAGAATTTCGTAGAGGATAGTAGTACCGTCGTTTTTTTTTTTTTTTTTGAAGTTTAATGATTTTTCAGTAAAAAAGCTGCAAAAACTTAAACAGTTAGTCTCCTACGAAACAGAATAAAGTGTCGTCTAAGCTCAGAAGACTTAAGGATCTCATAGAGAGAGTCATCCAATATTAGTTTGTGGAGCTAATAGTCGGCATTAACGACTTATTAGCGAAAAGCATTCGAAAATTTGGACAGTTAGGCTTGGTAAATAAGCTCACGAGCTTGCGGTAGCACAGTAGCTTTGACAAAGTGCGAATGCTTATAGCTTTATAGGCTATTCTGTGGAAACCGAAGTTAATTTTTTTTTTTTTTTTTTTTTTTTTTTTTTTTTTTTTTTTTTTTTTTTTTTTTTTTTTTTTTTTTTTTTTTTTTTTTTTTTTTTTTTTTTTGGTGTGGCTACCTTGCCGCATCAGCGTTTCAACCGATGTTTATGGCTTTTCGAGGAAATTTTCCAGACATGCCACCATACAATAACAAAACCAACTCCAACACCTGCAGTCAACCGTTAAATTATCATGTCTGCTTAGTCATGCTATTTCATTACTTTGTGTTTTCGAATCTTTTTTCCCACTCGGCGCGTTTTTAACAAAACCATTTATTTTTAAGTTTTATTAACACCATTGTTATTTGTTGTTGCTTAGTTTTTCTTTAGACCACAAGGCATGGCCGATGCGTCTTTTAATTATTCTGCCATATGCTCGCGATTTTCTTTTACATTGGTATTGCGAATGTGTTTGGATTAAGGCCAACGCAAACTTCAAGTTTTGCAGCACGCGCAACATGTGTGCGGTTCATAATCATATATCACATTATATATATGTACATAGATATCTGTACGCACAGTGTCGTTGTTGCAGTGTAAATGTGATCAAAATTATATAAGGAGAGTATAAGAGGAACGTTAAGTAGCACAGTCAGGAGAAAGCTTCGGAGAAGCGTTCAACAATTGGCGTACTCCCAAAGTTAGAATCAACAATTTTACCACGAAGATCTCAGAAAGCTCTGAGTTTGGATCTGCCGATTTTCGAGCAGATTTCGTTGGCCGATTGTAAGCGGTATCCCTTCATTACTATAATACATCTTACTATGAACCACTGTGACCTAATATAAGAAAGTGAAAAACATAACAAACATCATTCGGCAGCTCGAGGCTGCATACAAGCGAGTTGTCCACATAAACTCAACTTTTCGGCGGCAATTAGCAGCTTAGTACCAGTTCCTAGTTTATGAATGGCAAATCCGAATAAGATCTGCAAGAATATACTTTAGTGCCAGGTATACCGAGCCTTGCGTAAGGAAGAAAATCCACGGCGGTCTGCCTTTGCGCTACCTAATAGCCGAGTAAGAATAAAAATCGTGTAGAACTTCTGTGCGAAGAGATGACCGTCTTACACCAAAATCTTATATATACCAGTATTTTTTCAGCTGGTAACACTGTGCACTGTCTTCATACTTTGTCTCGCCGCTTTCATATGCGCTTATATATTACCGTTATAAGTTGAAGACTTTATGAGCTTAATTTTTTTTTTCTTTCCCGTCCAACAGCTGGCACTCATCTGCCAATCAGCGACATTTGAAGTTTTAGTGTTGCTAGTAAACAATTAAATGTTGGCGGCCCACTGACCATTGTAAGCGCAATTGCAAGCGCTAACCTTTTACTGGGGGCTGCATGGCGTGCCTGTATGGTTTTCATTGAACGCGTTTGTGACCCGACTCTTAAGGAGGTTTTTGTGTTGCATGCGCCTGTTTGCTCCGTTTAAATGGCACACATAAGCTTAATTGAAAATTTTTATGTTTACATGTCAGATGTGCTTTGAGAATCAGCATGCATGGGTGAATGGCGCAACGTCTTTGAACGTCCAACAATTGATCAATATTTAAAATGCTTATTGAAGGCAGTTATTTAGATTATTTCACAACAACATGGGCATATTGGCAACAGCAAGTGGAATTTGGGAGGCAAAGGAAAGCCTTGTGAACCAAGCAGTGGCAGCAGAAAAGATCCCTAAAGTAATTGGGAGGAATGCTGCCGAAGTGACAGTGCTTGGTTACATAAAAAATCTATGTCCGTCTGTCATCGGAATGTTTTTCCATATATTAATTCAAGCTTTCTTAGTTAATTGCAGAGCTTTACGATTTCTAAGTTTCATCTTATTGCCCATATAAGTTTACTGTACGTTTGTAGGCAGTCCTCCTATAATAGACTGTATTCGAATACTTTCAATCTTGTTTGAAAGCACTAACCAGTGTCAGATAGTCGCCTTCTTCCAATGTTGAAAGTTCCTCGACCTCCTGGTAATATTCTAATTTGACAAAGATTCGCATAAATCCGCTCCTTGGCCGTTAATTGGCGTCCACAACTTCTAGTTAAAGATATAATCTGACAAAGATTCGCATAAAACCATTTGTGGTAACTTATAACTTTGAGTTTAAAACTATTCGAACTACGAGAGTTGATCTTATCTGACAGAGCTGCGCATAAAACTCACAAGACCTTCCGTGGCGTCTTCAAACTTGGACCACGCCAAAGATTTCACTAAAGTTTTCAATTCAAACTTCATGCCTTCTTAAACAGCGAATAGATGAGCAGTCTTATGCTCTTCTAGGAAACATGTCAGCCTCTATTATACCAAGGCACATGAATTCATAAGTCTCTAGCGCAGTGGAACCTCCGAAAGATTTCGAAAACTCAAATTTCCTTAGAAAATCTTGTAAACTGATACTGCCTAAAATTTTCTTTGGAAATATGGGTATATACGAAAATATAATAGCCAAAATGAGCAGTCAGTTCCCTGATCCAATATTATACTAAAACTTTTTAGTTAATTACGTAATAAAAACCATATACTTACACTAATATATTATTAATAAAAAAATTGAATCTTTTTTTCTTCTCTTTTCAGGTGAGTACAAATCGAAAACCCTGCCACGCATCCATTTCGATACTTCCATTAATGATACGTCATTAAATGAAGGTAAATAATTAGTGTAAGAATTGTTATAAATTGCTTGTTAATAAGTTTAAACTGCCGAATCCTACACCAATAGTCAGGCTCTCTAGTCCTGCCAAATAGTTTCTAATTAATAAACGGCCGTCAAATGATTATTATGATTTCTGACTCAAGCCTCATTAGACTAGACAGATAACAAGCCGAAGTGGCGTATTTGAGCCGATAATATATATTTAATTAGTATTTAATATTTAATAGTATTTAATCGATATTTTAAAAACTGTTTCTACCAATCTATGCAACTATGATTGACCATACTTACAGGTTTGGTCGCGTAAATGGTATAATATAACGTGTGATTCATTTCGAGATTCCTTACTTTTGTAAAGAAAAAACACAGAAACTTCAAAATTAATGTGGAATGTTTACTATCAGTTGAAAGAATATAATTTGGCATTTATTTATTTGAAGATTATCTCCTGCAAATGTTGGCCTCGACTATTTTTCGGGTCGTCCATCCGTTGAGTTCAATTTTCGATGACTCAGTCGTGTGTTTCGACGGGTGAATGGCCAATGACACGCATGATGTTTTACTCCAAGTCCTCCATCGAAGCGAGATTGTCTGCTGGACGTGGTCTATTCGAATATTATCCAATAATAAATGCAGGGTCTTAAAATGGGTGATAGTGTTTCGTATAGTACGCTCAGTAGGCCGATTATGTTGGCTATAAGTTGAGCGAAGCGCACGAAACACACTTTTTTTATAGAACATAAATTTTCGTAATAAAGTTAAACGATTTGTACAGGTTGTTCAGAACTTAGTGTTGCTAATTAATTAGCTTTGTGCTCACAGTCTCATGCCGCATTCTAAACATCACTTTTTGAACAGTTAAATGTCAAATGTGCGTCTTCACAACACAATGGCTGATATTGCATTATTTTAGGGTAGTCGTATGACACCATTCATTTTGAAATGAGTCTTAGCAAGTTCATATGTTTTGACATAAAATTTAGTACTTTAGTGCGCCATATGTTCTCTTGTTGTTGAAACTTGAAACGCTTGGGACTTTTTGCTGTTGGTCTACTTCCTCAGCACTAAGCGGTGTCTCTTTAATTAGGTAGCGTTAAAACGTGTAAATTAGCTCAAAAAAATTACTTATAACAGTTAATTTTATTCGAGTTTTTGTTTTTATGCTCTCGCAACAAAGTTGCTAAAGAGAGTATTATAGTTTTGTTCACAAAACGGTTGTTTGTAAGTCCTAAAACTAAAAGAGTCAGATATAGGGTTATATATATGACGAGTAGAGTTGAAATCCGTCCATCTGTCCGTCTGTCCGTCCGTCCGTGCAAACTGTAACTTGAGTAAAAATTGAGATATCATGATGAAACTTGGAACACTTATTTATTGGCTCCATAAGAAGGTTAAGTTCGAAGATGGGCAAAATCGGCCCACTGCCACGCCCACAAAATGGCGAAAACCGAAAACCTATAAAGTGTCATAAC